TTGACTAGTTTGTCCTACCCTGCAGTCACTGTTTGTCAGCTGTGATAATTGTGTGTTTATGCTCATATCATTGCATTAGTGATTAAGTGAAAATGGTGGAATGTGACAGATCCTGATTTCATAAAGCTTATACCTTGGTCTACAGGTATGACCTTGAGACATGGACACAATCATCCCAGTGGAAAATGCTAAAGTCTGTGGTCAAAGAAGGCATGGCAATAATAAATACAACCTCACCATAAACTGGAACTGTAATATTTGCAAATCACACCTAAATTCAAAATTTCCAGCAAATAAAAGTCAAAAATACACATTGAACGTTTTCGGCCACTAGTTTGGTCGAAAACTAATGGCCAACTAGCGGCCATTAGTTTAAATGGAGACGTATATCTTACAGTCTTTGATTTTATTTCCATCTTTCTGTCTATAAGGTTGGAACCTTGCTTCTGCGCATTGAGAGATTATTTTCTAAGCTCTATCCATGATACATAATCGTACCACTCGCAGATATTAGAGCTTACTCACTTATTATGCTATTCATCCTGTTTTTGCTTTAACAAACATATCTACATCCAAAAACGTGGCGTATCCATGGGTAGCTCCAACTCTCTTTGTGAATTAGTCCTACGACAATTGGAGGAGCGTTCATTAAAAAACATCAAGCATAACATCCTTCTGTACACCCGATATGTCAATGACATTTTAATTGTATGGAGAAAACATCCTAATATTGGGGATGTGTTAAAAATGTTTAATAATAACAGCTATGGATTAATGCTAAAGTTGGATCAGGAGAGCGGTAATAGCATTAATTTCTTAGACATCAGGATTCAAGTAGCTGATAGCAAATTCGTCACAGCAATTTACCACAAGGCTACTTCCATCCTCCTAGTCATACCTTCCAATTCAGCGGACCCATGATCATATAAGACATCCGCATTCCACACTCTTGTGGCCAGAGCTTACTCCCATTCTACACAGTTGTCTGATACCAACAAGGAACTGGAACATCTCAAACAAGTAGCTACAACCACGGATATGGCTGTATGTTTATCGACAATCTGGCATCCAAATATCTAACTCAATCATCTAACTAGGTTAACAAAGCAGAAGCAAATCGGGTAATCTTAGACTACGAACCAACACTACATCGCATATATAGAAGGATTGCAAATAATTTAAATGTACTCCTTGTCTATAGAAGGAAACCCACCATTTTCCACCTTCTCTCAAATGCGAAGGACGACACTGAAGACGCTCTGGCTCCTGGAATTTACCACATCCCCCTATNCTAGCGGCCATTAGTTTAAATGGAGACGTATATCTTACAGTCTTTGATTTTATTTCCATCTTTCTGTCTATAAGGTTGGAACCTTGCTTCTGCGCATTGAGAGATTATTTTCTAAGCTCTATCCATGATACATAATCGTACCACTCGCAGATATTAGAGCTTACTCACTTATTATGCTATTCATCCTGTTTTTGCTTTAACAAACATATCTACATCCAAAAACGTGGCGTATCCATGGGTAGCTCCAACTCTCTTTGTGAATTAGTCCTACGACAATTGGAGGAGCGTTCATTAAAAAACATCAAGCATAACATCCTTCTGTACACCCGATATGTCAATGACATTTTAATTGTATGGAGAAAACATCCTAATATTGGGGATGTGTTAAAAATGTTTAATAATAACAGCTATGGATTAATGCTAAAGTTGGATCAGGAGAGCGGTAATAGCATTAATTTCTTAGACATCAGGATTCAAGTAGCTGATAGCAAATTCGTCACAGCAATTTACCACAAGGCTACTTCCATCCTCCTATTCATACCTTCCAATTCAGCGGACCCATGATCATATAAGACATCCGCATTCCACACTCTTGTGGCCAGAGCTTACTCCCATTCTACACAGTTGTCTGATACCAACAAGGAACTGGAACATCTCAAACAAGTAGCTACAACCACGGATATGGCTGTATGTTTATCGACAATCTGGCATCCAAATATCTAACTCAATCATCTAACTAGGTTAACAAAGCAGAAGCAAATCGGGTAATCTTAGACTACGAACCAACACTACATCGCATATATAGAAGGATTGCAAATAATTTAAATGTACTCCTTGTCTATAGAAGGAAACCCACCATTTTCCACTTTCTCTCAAATGCGAAGGACGACACTGAAGACGCTCTGGCTCCTGGAATTTACCACATCCCCCTATATGAAGAGAGGTTTGACAGATTACTAGCTTACATAGGATCTACATACAGATTGCTGCAAGCCAGACTAAAAGATCACAAATACGACGTGCTAAAAGTTACCTTTTAGCACGTCGTATTTGTGATCTTTTAGTCAATATGGCCTTAGCACGGTATCTTTTATCAATATGGCCTTAGCACGGTATGCTAGCGATCCAGGGATTTCCCCATGTTGGGACCAGGCCAAGCTAATACACAAGGTTTTCGACAGGCAAAATATAAAAATTTTAGAAGCAGTAGAGATCTACAAGGCGAGCATGAGTGGAAACCGCATCAACACGGATGTCATACCTGTATCATCAGCGTGGAAACACTATCTAGACTCATAATATACATCATATACAATACATCACAGCCATTTTCGTTCTTTTAAAAATTTAAAAGGCAGCTAAGTTCTATTTATAGAATGGTTTTTCCAGTTTGTATTTCCTGAGGAAGGCCGATAAATTTAGTGGCCGAAAATGTTCAATGTGTATTTTTGACTTTTATTTGCTGGAAATTTTGAATTTAGGTGTGATTTGCGAGGCATGGCAATATGATGCAGCAATGTGAAGGTTATGTTGTTTCTTTTTTTTGACCACCAGGGCATAGTCCATTATGAGTATGTCCTTCATGTACAAACTGTTACAAAGGAGTACTATCTGACTATTTTACATCATCTTTGAGATGCTGTTAGGTGCAAGAGACCACAACCACAACTCCTCAGTCTGAAACTTGTATTCATCACAATAATGCTCATGCTTATGAATTGTATCTCATAGAGACATTCCTTGCAAAACATGGTATTGCGCAGTTTAGCAGGTTTCTTATTCCCACCCATGGCCCTGGCTGACTTTTGACTCTTTTCCAAATTGAAGATGCTATTCAAAGGAAATATCTTTCCTTTGAATAGCATCTTCAATTTGGAAAAGAGACTAATGTGATGAAGCAGTTGATGGTGATCTCTATTTGAAAAATGCTTCCAACTGTGAAAGCATCACTGGAAGAACTGTATGAATTCAGAAGGNTGACCACCAGGACATAGTCCATTATGAGTATGTCCTTCATGTACAAACTGTTAAAAAGGAGTACCATCTGACTATTTTACATCATCTTTGAGATGCTGTTAGGTGCAAGAGACCACAACCACAACTCCTCAGTCTGAAACTTGTATTCATCACAATAATGCTCATGCTTATGAATTGTATCTCATAGAGACATTCCTTGCAAAACATGGTATTGCGCAGTTTAGCAGGTTTCTTATTCCCACCCATGGCCCTGGCTGACTTTTGACTCTTTTCCAAATTGAAGATGCTATTCAAAGGAAATATCTTTCCTTTGAATAGCATCTTCAATTTGGAAAAGAGACTAATGTGATGAAGCAGTTGATGGTGATCTCTATTTGAAAAATGCTTCCAACTGTGAAAGCATCACTGGAAGAACTGTATGAATTCAGAAGGGGACTAGTGTTTGAACATAATAGTGTTTTTTCTCTGTCCTCAGGTTGGATACTTTTTGATTAGACTTTGTGATCTGCATCTCAGGATGTTAGGAGAAGGTGTTAGAGTTGAATGAAACTTTATTAGTGGAAATGTCATGACAATGGTAATAAGTTGTTATAATATTATAACAAAGAGATAATTTCCTTAGAATAATGCTACAAGTTTGGTTAGACATGGCAGTATATAGGCACCATAGATTATCTTGCAACAGATTGTTGCAGCTGCTGCTTCAGATTTATTGCACTCATAGATGGTGTTGTCCCACCTGATCTCACAAATGCTCAATAGACAATATTTAAACTCACACAAAAGCTGGAACTGTTGATCAAAAGCAAAAACACAACAATTAATACATACTCTAGCACACAAATTTTAATGTAAACACAAATGTTTTCAGCCAAATTTATGGCCTTCTTCAGGTAAGAGAGCCATTCTATAAATTGAATAAGTTACAAAACTTTCAAAAATGGAACATTTCATGTGCTCTGCAGGTTAAAATTTTTAAAAATTTTAAATTATTCTGTGCTTAATCAGATGCAGTTTTTAAATTATATATCATAGGTGATTAAAATACAGAGATACATATATAGGTCAAAATATTACAAATTAAACATAAATATATTTGGATAGGAACCAAGTAAATACAGATTGAGCTTTTAACACTTATTCTTGGTTTGTGTTCAGGGTATATCTTCTTTATTGGTTATATTTGGTTTATAATATTTTGTGAATTACTGTATAACATTCAATTCGTATTTGCTTGGTTCCCGGGAATCTAATTTTTATGTTTAATTTGTAATAATTTGATATATATGTGTATATTTGTATTTTAATCATTTTTATGGTTTTTTTTTTATTTAAAAAAAACCATTCAAGGATTTTGAATTTTATTCAGGATTAAATATTTTTCAAGACATCAAAGTCTCATCATTAAATTCATATTTTAAGAATATTAATGTTCTTAAAGTATGGGATATGATGATTTTGATTTAAGAATTATTAAATCCTTTAAAAAATTCAAAAGTGAAAAGGATTTCAAGAATTTTTACAAAAAATTTCAAAAATTTACAGTTAATCAATATTAATATATATAAAATTTTAATTAGTATTAATTTATAATTTCAGTTAAGCATAATTAAGCATAGTATTAATTTAATATATTACATTATTATTATTGTTATATTATATTGTTTCTTTGTTTTTGTTAATTTTTTATATTTAATATTAATTTAACACACAATTTTTCCCAAACAGAAAAATATATTATGAAGATAACTTTTAGTCATTCTGTGAAAACTAAAAAAATTATATTTAAAAGATGAGATACAAAAGAATTTAAAAATGCCAGTACAGTCTCCTCAATGGACAGAATTTCTTTCTTGTCCTATTTGTTATAATGAATTTGAAGTAAATTTACGACGGCCAATTAGTCTGGGATGTGGTCATACTATGTGCAAGAATTGTCTATCAAAACTTCAAAGAAAGCAATGTCCATTTGATCAAACAAATATTAGTACAGATATTAATCAACTTCCTGAGAATCATGCTCTTCTTCAACTTGTAGGAGGAAGTGTGCCAGAAAAAGTACCAAATGTTATTCCTTTTGTTCCAAAAGATGATGTTAAGCATTATCTTTCTGCAAAAAAATGTATTGAAGATTTAGCCCTTTATCTTAAAGTGACAACTCAAGGTAAGCAGCTTTTACTTCCTCAGAAATTTTTAATTATGTAATGAAAATATAAGGTTAATACTAAAATAATAATTTTATTTAATAATATATTATTATTATTAATTTTTAATAGGACAGATTTAAATTTCTGAAGGTGAAATAAAAATAAACAAAATGAATAATTTATTGGAGTACAGTAGAGCGTCGATTTTCCGAATCAATTGGGGACTGGGGTTGTCCGGATAACTGAAATTTCGGATAACTGATTAACGTACGAAAAAATAGTTTAACGTATCTGATGTCGAAATTTTTGTCCGTTGCGTGTCGCTTTGCGTTGAATTTTCGTCGATGTTAAGCCTAACAAAGACTATTGTATCGTTAAAAATTATTTTTTTATTTTGTACAAACAAAATAAATATTTTGAAAAATATAAAAATAATAAAAAATTATACTTCAGATGTTAATTTAGTATCAAAAACGTAAAATATTTGAGTAGCCCAAGACATAGCCAAAGATTGAAGCGCCACAGCATTGGCAAAAATTTAAATTTGCGGCAAAAATTTAAATTTGAATTCTTTCGGATGATTGACTTTCGGAAAATCGACGCTCTACTGTATTTATTTTTGGATTAAATGTTTTTTGAGTTTGTTTGGCTATATCATTTGAAACATTATAATTTTAATATAGTGATCATATGGTAAAGCCATATTTATTGATAGGACTTGGCTAATTAATTACATAGATATTATAATGGCCTTATAATTATTATAATTATATCTATTTGATTAGCTAACTGATAAATCTGGCTTTAACAGGTAATCATTAGAGTAATTTGGGCTTAGATGATTTATATGGCTGATAGTGTTTTTAAATTATAGTTATTATTCTACTAGCAGATAGGCCCAGTGTTGCTCGGTCAAAAAGTAATGATAGTGAAGATTAAGATTATTACGTTATAGTCAATCTTACCTGTTTTCAAAGAATGCAAGAATTAGGTCCCACTGTTTCCAGACTAATTAGAGAATTTTTAGATGGGTTAAAAAAATGTTCGATTTTCCACAAAAACGAAAAAACTGCATCTGTGCCTGTAAATCTTGCACATTGCTTTCTCTTAACACTTCCATTGTTAAAACTTTCATTGTTGACACTTCCATTGTTGATACTTCCATTGTTACTTAACACTTCCATTGTTGACAGTTCCATTCTTAACACTTCCATTGTTGATACTTCCATTGTTACTTAACACTTCCATTGTCAAAACCTTAATCCTGTCTCTCTTCCGAGGGGAGAATTTCGAAAAATCCCTTCTTAGTGTGTGTTTTCATGACGTACTCTAACTGTGTATTAAATTTCAACTTTCATCTCTTAACCATTTGGGCTCTGCACTTATTATTATCATTATCATTATCAACCCGTCTCAATTATATATTAGATTGATTTATACTATATTCCTGTGCTTTATAGCCCATGGGTGATAAATTGACTTAATGCCCATTGCAGGCCGTAAACTGAAAACAAAGTACTGCAATAAAGCAATACATCTTACTAAAATAATTTAAATTTTAATGTGCATGTTATTGCAAAAAACCTCAAAAATTGTCAAATCTAGCAACTATAATATGATAGTATCTGTAGTAGAAAGTTGTTGTTACTGGTACCAGGTATTTATATTGCACTTCATGCATTGTTTGCTTTTGGATATAACCTGAGTGCAGCTGAACCTTTATGAACTTAAATTATCTTTAATTTGAAGACACAGTCTGTCCAAAACCAGGAACCACCATTTATTTACTTCTAGTGTTCCAGAATACAAACATTTGATGACCTGACCTTTCTTTTTAGGCTGCGTGGCTTTCTCCTTTCTTCATCTTCGCAAAGATTCATCACCAGGAGAAAGCTAAGAAAATCTACATTTACCAGTGTCTTTTCCTCAGTAGATATAAAGCTCAAATATCTCTGAGTGGTGATCCACCAGTACCAATTTTAACTTTGTAATTTTAATTGGATATTTTTCTGTGTTTTTAAAGGATATTTTTTTAACTTGAACTTGATGGCCAAGTTCAAGTTAGATGGTAAAGTTTAACTTAATAACTTATTAACTTATTAATAACTTAATAACTTATTTTCATTAGACAAACTGACAAAAATGGCAATGTTTCAATTTATTTCTCATGGGCTGTAAAGGCAGGATTATGTTGTGAATTTTATACTAAAATGCAAATTTATCAAATTAAGTATAAAAAATGTATAAGGAATAATTTACATTTTAATTAATCATCACTTTGAAGCTTATTTGATGTAGATTTAGCTTGTTTGCAACTGTTTTACTGTTTAATTTTATTTAAAGTAACAGAAGTGAAAATTGCCCAATAGTAATTGCCCTCTTACCATAGTGATGCTTCTTCCTGCAATTCCTGTTATTGAATTTACACTCATCCAGGGTTTAAAAATGTTTATGAAAATAACATCTCAAGTTGACATTCTTTCATTGATTTATAATTTATTTCTTAATTTTATGTTATTAATGGAAAGATTACATTTTATTCAGGAGCAATGTTTCTTCTAATTTTTCATAAAGCTGTGCAGTGATGAAAGGCACATGATGAAAAAATTTTCAAACAAGAAGTCTGATATATGTTCATATGAACCTTTTTGCTTAGAATCACTTATACTATCATTTCTCAGAACATTCCTCCTGAATCACTTTCTATACAGAAATTATTTGGATCATCATGAATTGTTTTGCTTTATTACATACAAAACATATGTAATAAAGCAAAACAAATACTGGATTAAATGTTTTGTACGTAGATGTCCTGCTGTTGGTCATGTGCACAGGAAGTAAAAGCACTTGTGCACCTTTATAGAAATCAGTGCATGGCTGTGCAGACATGCATGCAGGTTAGAGGGAATATTCCTCAGAGGACTGACATCATTTCTTTTGAATAAAATGCTGCCTAACTGAAGAATTCTTACAGATAAGCAAGAAAGAACAAAAAAATTAAAATTTAAAGTTATTCATTCTTTAGAACAAGGAAAGATACCTAACTATGAAGAATATTTACACAAAAAATTTATATACCTATGGCTGGATTTCTAAATATGTGCAGTATGTCCTGGCCAAGAGTGACAGTTTTTGAGAGGCAGCAAAATTGGCAAGCATAGTATAAGAATGTTACAAGAAAAGTAAATAATTCCAAATATTGTAATACAGTAAAATCTCATTATTTTGAAACTCAAAGGACCAAAAAAAACACGACTTTGAATTATCCTGGTGTGAATTATCAAAACTTTTTTAAAATTAAATGTTTTTGTAATTCCTGAACAAAATTATGACTTTATCTTATATAATTTTACCAGTTTGGTTACAAATGCATTAATATTACAAGCTATTAGTAATTTAAGCTATTTTGAAAAACTGTCAGTTGGAGTATACTTAATGAAAACAAAACCACATTTAAAGGAAGACATGAAAATAATGTATGAAAGAAGCTTAAGTGCATAAATAAAATTACCTGTGAATTTCGTCTAGAGGACCAATAGCTATTTATGAAGATTTTACTGTCTTGAGTTCGAGATTACAAAAATCATGTGGTTGATGAAAAAAGTCTCTATTAATGGTTAAACCTATGTATGCATTCTATCCTGAATATGCATGTGTATTTAATGGACTTTGAAATTATTGAAACAATAGATTTTTGCAAAAAATGTCCAAAATAATTAAATGCCAAACATATTTCTTCCAAAAAAATGAAAAGAATTGTCTCTTCATTGGCAATGTATACAATGTCCAAATGACCTTGAATGGACATCCAATAAATCAATTTGTAATAGGTTAAACTGAAAACAAAATTGCCACTTGGACAAGGAAACTTTCTGTATAGACACATAATATGATGGAAGATTTTGAATTAAACAGTACTTCTGTAGGTTACCAGACCAGTAATAACTGAATTTCATTGTATGCGTATTTCAAATTATCCAAACTAAAATATTTGTATAATCCTATTCTTTTGGCCGCAGATTAGACTTGACTTTGAATTACATGATACTTTGAATTATCCAATATCAAAATAAAGAAATTTTACTGTATTTTTAATTAATTTATTCAGTAATCTACATAAATAAATAAAGATAATAGCTTAAATAATCTAATTACTTTATATATGTTAGGCTCAAAGACCGAAATTGCTCATTGAGTGAAAAAAAAATGACCACAATGCATTGTGGTCATTACAAAACGGCCACGAAGCGAAATTTACGTTGTGGCTGCTTGTAAAAATGGCCACAAAGCCAAATTCGCATCGTGGCATTTGTAAAAACAACCATGAAGCGAAATTTGTGTCATGACTATCATGATATTTGACCACTACACATTGTGGTGATTAAGAAAAGCCATAATGCATTCTGAACGTTAGCTGATGCAACCATGATACAGGATCATACGATGCACAGTGATTTGTAACTTTAAAATATGGATTATAGGCTTGAAAAATTTTTATTTACAATTTTTAATGCCAACCGACATTAGTTCTACAAGTTTTCCTAGAAATTTAATTTTCATACTTAAAAAAAATTTCAAAGGACTAAAATATATGGAGAAAAATACACATTTGTTTCTTTTGTTTTGCTAAAAAGTGCTAAAGGTCTAATTACATATACTTTTAGGTGCTTGATACACGATAAAATAAAAATCAGCTGTTAAAGTTAAAAACCACTGTGCAATGGATTTATTATGGTTAAAAGCCACCACATGTTCTGGATGTTAACTAATAATGAGCGATGATAAGAAAATAAAACTTTCTTTTCATTATGATTTATTTATCTTCAATCATCTTTTGAATGCAGGTAACAAAATTATTCATCATATACAGAAATATAACTTGGTTACTTTACAACAACATTTAATTATTCATGCATTTTATGTTCTTTGAGTGACATTTGCATTTTTATCAATACAGTATCTTTTACAGCGACACATTATAAACCCTTGCTTACTTCCAGATGTTAACATGGATGCTGAGCGAAGTGTTAATAAAGTTGAGGGTGTGTTCTGAATGTTAATAAAGTTACTGTAGAAATTGTAAATTCATTACGAGCATAAAGTCGATCGAGAAGACTTTCCTTGTTTCCTAACTGATAGAGACCTGATGGATTAATGCTCATAACAACAGCTAAAACATTTTTGGGAGCGGCATGTCCCCTATCAACATTAGGCACCCTAACTAAAACAATTGAACCAATTTCAGCTGCAGAAAATTACCCTAAATTGAGAAAACTCTCTAAGCTTGAGCTCAAGCTGAAATAAAAAAAATAAGATGAATGAGTCTATGACGCAAATTCCTGTACTATTATTGTGAAATAATAATCAGAACAATTCTTACTGTTTCTGAAAATTTTAATAACTAAAGTGTCTTAGGATTTTTAGGCTTTATCAGAGGTATTAATTTACATCTGATATGGAGAGTGCCAATGGCTCAATGGCATGAAGGTTGAGAAAAAAGAAATCCTACTTGGGTGTAACAGTAATACCTCTGTTTTCGTTGACTTCGGTTATCGTCGGTTTCGGATTTCGCCAATTGTTTTCGGATGGATTATTGACAAAAATCAAAGTATCACTGTACAGTGTACACCCATGTACCTTGCATCAATCTGCATTATTTCTTTAGCTTCTGTTGTCCCATCCTAAAACCCTCTAGCAATAGGGAAAAGCAGAATGGTTTTAGGCTAAAACTTTTTCTAGCAAAACTTGTGGAGTGATGAGTAATAGCATCAGAACACAGGGTAGTTTTACCCTAGATTTACCCTAAATATAACACTACCTGAAATATTATTCTGAGAGGTTGAAATTACTCTAGAAAAGGGTAATTACCCTAGAAATGGCAGCACTGGTCAAGAATGAACACAATACAAACTCCGCAAATGTTTGCAATGCGCCTGTTGACAAGTTACAACCTATCCTTTGTATCGTGTGGTTGCATCAGCTAATGTTCAGAACGCATTATGACTTTTCTTAATTACCACAACAGGTAGTGGTCAAATATCATGAAAGCCGCAACGTGAATTTCACTTTGTGGCTGTTTTTACAAACAGCCACGACACAAATTTTGCTTTGTGGCCATTTTGAAACAACCACAAAGTGAAATTTGAGCCTAACATATATATAGCTTTGATCATTTACAATTTAAACATACATAGATATGCATGATTTAATCTATACTACTATATAAAGAGAGAACATACTTTTCGTTTGTGACTACTAACCATGAAAACTACTGAACCAATTGTTACCAAATTTTAACTGTAGCATCTTTATGATCCCCGGAATGTTTACCACTAATCAAACCTACTGATTTTTATTTAATGAAATAAAACTGCAATGGATTTTTGTCTATTTCTCTCTCTCTTCACTAGATTACAACACATGAATTAGTACTTTCTTTCTGTAAGAAAAGTCTATTATTGTAGTTTACTATTATATTTGAAGAACTGACATTAAATTATGATTAGTTAATTAGCAAAATCTTTGAGGAATTAAAAAAGTGATGTCATCATGCTAGATGGCAATATGTGTACTTATGGTGGGTTTTCAAATCGTTATGCATTAATTTCTGCAGGTAATTGTACAAAATATTCGAAATAGTTATTGGATTTATCTCAAGTGAATATTTTTGAGATTGATTGATAAATAATGCCGAGAGCTGCGAGAGCAAGAATAGGAAGAAAAAGTTCTAGAGCTATTATTGTTCATAATTGTAGACAACATGAATCTACAGCAGAGCAGTCTCAAAGACTGGAAGAGCAAAGAATTTGTTCGGCTCAGAATCGAATGCATATAGCGAGGAATTTTTTAGGTTTCAAATCAGCTTTTGATTATCATCCTGAAAATGACAATTTGGATATGAAAGAGGTAAAATGATCAAAATATGTGATCATTGTTTTGCCAAAAAATGGTATGATGAAACTCCCGGACTTTGCTGTGCTTCAGGGAAAATTGTTCTTGAACAACTTAAAGAACCTCCTGATTTCACTAAAAATTTGATTTTAGGAACAGATCCTCTTTGTATACATTTCTTAGACAGTTCTAGACAGTACAACACTCTATTTCAAATGACATCATTTGGAGCCAAAGAAATAAGAGAAGGGAATTTCAATTTGCCTACTTTTAAAATCCAGGGTCAAGTTTATCATTTGATTGGCAGTTTACTTCCTGATCCAGAAGACACTCCTAAATTTTTACAGATCTATTTATTGTCTGAATCTGACCAGATATTAGCCCAATTGAATATAAACCCAACTTTGAAAAGGGAACTCATTGAAAGATTGCAGAAAATCATGCAAGGTAATAATAATCTTATTTAGGGTTTCAAAATTACAATGGGTTTCCACATACAATGTGGATTATCCACAAATAATTAATGAACAATTAGTTCAAATTATCAAAGTTCTATATGTATATAAGAACAGGTGAGGCTATGACAGGGGATGTTAGTTTTTAATTAAAGCAAAATGTACCATGTATTGATACATTAACCATACCATTTAGTGAAATGTATCATTTTGCATTTACTGAATTTAGTTCAATTTAATATAATATTTGATCAAATGATCATCATAATAAATCAGGCTATAAATTTGCTATTATTAATGATTAGATATTAAGTAATTTGGTATTAGCCAGTTTTGACTATAATTTTGGCTAGTTCTTTTCTTTCAGATGGTTCTAAATTATTTAATAAATTATTAAAAATTATAATTATTAATTTAGATAAGAGATGGCACCTAATGTCTACCTCTAATAACAAATTACTTAATATCTAATCATTAAAAATAGTAAATTTATGGCCCAATTTATTACAATGCTTGTTTGGTTGAATAGCAATGTATTGGGCTTCAGGAAGTTTATTAAATATAATATTTGTAATCAAAGTCCAAGTTAGTGTGTCTTGTCAGAATCATTTGTTTACATTAGAAAAGTGGCATTTGAGTCTGTGCCTATCTATAGTGGCAAAAGCATTAAATCTGATCATGTATAATGAGAAATTTTGTCTTATATTAAGAAGTTTTATGTAAATAAATTTATTTACTACCTTAATTTTTCCATTTATTTGCAATCAAATGATAAATATTATAGCAAATATTTTGTTGGCAAAACTAGTGTAACAATACAGGGTAATTGTTACACTGACTAGGTCTAGAACTGAAGATTGCATATCTGAGTAGCATAACCAATTCTTTTCTTCCAGTTTAATCAAAATTAATTAATTAAATGTTATTACTAATGAGATCCTGCACAATATGCAGAATGTATGGAGTCTGATTAAGATTGATATTTTCTTCCAGAAACATCTAAATTATTTAATTTAATCATAATTTATTTCTAATTATTAAATTTAATACAAGATGGCTCCTAATGCTTCCCTCTAGGGTTAAATNGAGTCTGATTAAGATTGATATTTTCTTCCAGAAACATCTAAATTATTTAATTTAATCATAATTTATTTCTAATTATTAAATTTAATACATGACATGTTCCAAAAGTAAGATACAACTGAAATAACAGAAAAAACACGCCTTTTTATCCAGAAAACAAATTTAATGAATTAATAATGTAATAATGTAAAATTTTATAGATCTTCCTCAGTTGCAAATTAGAATAACTTATGAAATCAAACAATTTAATGAAATCAAATGTATATCAGTTATATATCTGATTTCTTATTAAGTTATTCTAATTTTTAAGAAGATCTATAAAATAAACATTGAAACATTATTAATTCATTAAATATGTTTGCTAGATAAAAAGATGATTTTTTTATGTTATTTTGATTACCATCAACCAGTTTCTACATTTATTATTTGCTAAGATACAGTCTTTTATAACAACTTACTAACAAATTACATTAAAAAAATTAAATTAGCCAGTTGCAAGTACATAGTCTAAGCTATTTTTCTACTGTTACAATTTTTTTCTAAACACTTTTCTCAGCAGGAGTCAAGGGCAAAGTTCCTTTCTGAAAACAATTTTTCATGTTATGATTTGAAAAAGTTTGTGACCATATCTTTAACGTCATGATTATCTGAGAAGTGTAAACCACCAAGATGTTTCTTAAAGAGGACCAAAAAAAGGTAAAAATCAGAGTCTGCTATCTGCACTATAAGCAAGTTGTTGCACAATAATACACTCCCCATGCTGCACACCTGATGTCAGACTAGCTAAACAAAAGTATGACTGGAAAATAATGGACCAACCATTGCTTAGTCCAGATTTAGCATCCTCTGATTTTTACCTTTTTTGGACCTCTTTAAGAAAGTGCTTTTGGCTTACATTTTTTGTCTTCTAATAGGTACTTAAACATATTTAACTTTTCAATATATCTATTAATACTGTGATAATAGTTATTAATTTAATAATAAATTCCAAAAGTAAAGTATTATTAATTAGTTTCATATATAAAATGTAATTTTTTTACATTTTTTTTCTATTAAGGTTCAGCTAATGGAGGTAATCAGAGCAATTCTCTTAGTCGTCCAATGCAAAGAAAGTTGGTTACTCTTATTAATTGCCAACTTGTGGAAGAAGAAGGTAGAACACGTGCTATGCGTGCTGCTCGTTCTCTTGGCGAAAGATCTGTTACTGAACTTATTTTACAACATCAGAATCCTCAACAATTATCTGCTAATCTATGGGCTGCTGTTAGAGCAAGAGGATGTCAATTTCTTGGACCAGGTATAATATAGTATCACTTTATTAAATTCAAAGCTAAGTATTATTCTGAAAACTTTGGCTCAATATTTCATTTATTTAAGTCCACTTGACATCCATATATTCAGGATTATTCAGATGAGATAATGACAGGAGGATATAAAGAAATAAAATAATGATTAAGAAAACATTAAAGTTTGATTACCAGTTGTATTTAAATAGTAACTGCCCTCAAATAGCATCATGTCCTAACAGCTTGAAAGAATAATCATCCTCAAATGGTAATGGCTGTGTCTACTATTCAGGGATTTCCAAAAACTTAGGAAATAAATGTAAAATTAATAAATACTGTAAGCTGCAATAATAACTGTAACTTAAATATTGTATTTATTTAACAAACAAACTTAATGGAAAATGAAATAAGTAAAATGTACAATATACAGTNCAGAAGCTTAATTATTAATAAAAATAGGAAGGATGGGCAGTGTCGAGGACGACGACGTCGGTGGAAAGTGCGCCCAATAAATATAAACAGACCTTTGAACAATATAAAAGTAAAGTAAAAGTTACTTTGGTCATAAAAAGCAAATAAATAATTATGGTGTAGATCTAACAACACAAACGGTAATATTTTCTCCGATTTACTTCAAGAGTGCGCATGCGTAAAACAGTCTGTCTCGTACATCGTAAAAATGTTTGGTTCCTTACAGATACAGATACGGCCTTACGGTATTTTATAACTACTGCCATAAATACCAGCGTTGCAAACACTTACAAATACGGAGTTTTTAACCCAGCCTTAAATTGTTTGACTTTCTCTTAAGGCTTCTGTTTCAAACATGCCGTTTCACGTCATTCATTTATCGACAAAGTGCGTGACCCATTAATAATTAATAAACGCCCTAAATGAAAATTATTGTTCCTTCGTGGATTATAAAGATTTCAGTGAATATGTCTAAAAAAGAATCATTTTTAATTAGATGTGTTTTGGAATCGCATACATTGCCATCGTTATAATTACAATATATTCTAAAACTTTCAGCCCTGTGGGCACTAAGAGGTCCTCTTTCAGCAAGCTCATTATGAATTTGGCCAGGCCCACAAAGGGGCGGCCGGGTGGTGAGGGACGGGACCCGACATATCTGGACGGTCCCCCCGAATCATTCCTGAGAATTTTTCGAATCGTCCGCATTTGATCACGGGTCCACCAGAGCGGTAGGTTGCACCTATACCGTTCGGCCATCCGGCCGTGTTAATAATTACAATATTAAATACAGTATACACACAATATATTAAACCACGTTATTGGCTATTGCATCCTTAAAGCACGATAAGAAAATTCTAAATGATATACATACGCCTGTAATCAAAAAGTATCGGGAATGGTTCAATAAAACGCAAGATTTGAATTTATTCATCAAAATTTATTTCGTCCCCTTCAAAGTGATCTCCCTCCTACTGCAATGCACTTATGGCAACGCTTTTTTCGAATTCTAAAAACATGCTTTAATGTCGTGTTTGTGAAACCCCTTCGGGACTCGCAGCGAATTTTATTTTACATCAATCGACTCAAAACGGTGACCAAGAAACAGAAATTTTAGTCAAAGAAACGGAGAAAAGCGGTACCATGTCGGGTTAATATGGAGCTTACAGAACAGTATTTGTTGAATTTTTGACCAAAATTTCACCAGCAACGACGATCGAAGTAAACAATCAATACTACCTTAATTTTTGACTAACTTCGATTGTCTTATCGATCTTGTATCGACTTTCGAGCGTTACTCATTGTCCAGTTGTTTCACTATCAATAGCGTAGACCCAGATTTCGTCGCCCGTAGTAGTGCGTTTTAAGAACGATTCGCCTGGAGAAAGCATTTCCTTGGCCACTCGAACACGTTGTTCTTTTTGGAAAAAATTCAACGTTTCCGGGAAGATTCGAGAAACTAATTCGCCGCCAGCTCAAACGATCTTTTAAAATTGCTCGACGACAATCATTGAGCACAATAAGCCATAGTAAACTAGAAGGACAAAAGCCAAAAAATGCATAACTCAAAATGACTGTTACATGTTTATGAATTAAGAAACAACATTCCAGCGAGTCAATTGCTATCAATATTTTTTTAAAATACGCACCGTGGCTTTGTTAACCAACAAAAGAAAAGCATCCGTTTTATATATGGTTGAAAGTACAGTAGTGCCTCGTATAACGTACTTAATCCGTTCCAGGTGTACGTCCGTTAAGTGAAAAGTCCGTTATACGAAACGCATTTTCCCATAGAAATACATGTTAAAACGTAATTCGTTCCGCAGCATAAAATAACCGTATTGTACCATAACAAAAAAAATGAAAATGGAGCAGTCACCAATTATGCCGGGTAGTCAGATGTTGTGAGGAGGAGGTGGAGGTACACTTTCTTCACACATTCATACAGATACAGACTTTTTATACATTGCAGCGGGTCTTTTTTTTTTATTGTTTTTTAATCGGATTCAGATTCAGGAGAGGCTACCGGAACTTGCAGGGTCAACTTCTCTTGTTCCATCCTTTGTTTTTTGTCCGCTGGCTTCTTGAAAAACATGTCCAAGATGGTCTGTTTCTCTCTCTTCTTCAACACCTGTCGGAAATGACAGGCAAGGGTGTCATTGTAGAGATCATTGATACTGTTGGCCTCAGCTTTGTCTGGATAATGAGTGTTGGTAAACTCTTGAACCTCTCCCCATTCGACAAGGAAGCTTTTGTCAACTTTCACTTCTTCTGATGATTTCTTCTTTGTTTCAATTTAAATCACCTTTCTGTTTTTTTTTTAGAAGCCATGATTTGCATAACACTTGAATAAATGTAAATACCCTGCACTGAGGTGATGTATGTACGTAATAAACAAGGGAGTAATCCGAATGCCAACGGGAGCTCTGTACTTCAGATATACTAATAATATATTCTAATAATACTAATATATTATAAAAATAGCAGATTGTCATTGGCAACGACAAAAGAGTGGCAACATCATTCGCACTTGTTCGTAGAAAGTCCATTGGTCGCCTCACGTAACTGCCGAACGGAAAGTCCGTTGTCCGCAGCCAGTCCGTTGCTCGAGTCACGTAACGGCGAAACAGAAAGTCCGTTATTCGCAGCGTCCGTTATTCGAGGCGTACGTTATACGGGGCACCACTGTATAACGTTAGTGTCGTTTTCGGACTTGTTTCGGATAGTTGTTTCGCTCGCTGTTTTGAGTGTTTTTATCAAATATTAAGATGGATANGAATTGAAACGACACTTTGAAATGTTTTCCCGATGAAAATTAATAATAATGTAATAATAATAATAATAAGTTACAATAAAAATGATAAAATGTAAATTGAATTTTATTATAATGAGTTTGCTTGAATTTCATTTCTTCTGAGATCGCAGCAATGCTCGACGGGTAAGCTAGTATCTCATAAATTACGACTGGTTTTTAGGATTGCAAGATTGGCTTCAAGTTGCAGATTGAGATATTTATAAGACTCAAGGCTACTATGTCTGGGTGACTTCTATTTTTTGGGCCACTTGAAAAATAATTTGAGGTACATTTCAAAGAATTTTGCTTTACTTTTTATAAAATCTCTCTGGCAACCTATGAGGTTCTCATCAAACATATGCTGTTTATCTGCAGTTTATTTATATTATTATAATTAAATATCAATGAACAAAAATAGCATATTAAGCAAATGGAATATGGCTATGTATTCTATTTGTGTAATAAATTACTTTAGTTTCATGGCATTTGGCATATTGTACAGAAATATGTAAACCTTAAATAATTTGAATCTTGATAATTCAAAGTTGCAATTATTTTGTCCCTTGAATTTTGAACTAATGAGGATTTCCTATAGTAAGTTTTGTGATGATAAAAAATGCATAATTTTATATTTGATTTCTTTTAATACATTTAAATATTAAATATCAGATGCTAGCATAGCAGTGCACTCCACACTAGATTTATTCCAAATAGTTCATGGGGTACTAAAATTTTTAACAATTTTGATACTAATGCCAATTCCACTAAAATGTCTCAATTCTGATATGATTCCCAGTTTTGATTCTTTTCAAAAATATAGTTTGATATAATCTCAGAGCAGCAGCATAATAGCACTAGCCATGTAGTAATTAATACTTAAGGGTTATCAGGTCATTTTCATTCAAACATATCAAATGTCCAAATGATGCAAATTTATTTTGTTATTGTTTTTTATCTTGAAGTTGAATTGTTACATTAGAAATTAATGACATTTAACAGTATGTATACTAAACAGATTTGTTGTAAAATTTAACTTTATTTAAAAATCAATAGCAATTTTTGTTTGGTGTAATTACCCAGTAGATTACAAATTTTTGATGAAGATGCAATATCAAAATAAACATGGGGACAAAATATGCTGTATAAGTGTAGTAAAAGCATTTCAATAGTAAAATTTTAACAGCAATTTGGGCAGAACTGTAATTTATTTCTAATGTTATTGCTGACAGTATATTAAGAATGAGTTTAATTTATGCTGAATATAATCCCAAATAAGGTTTGGAATTTCAAATTTTTTTCTATGTACCAAAAACCTTTATAAATGCCAGACTTGGCAATATTTATAATTTATTAGTTCTATTAATCTATTGATTATTAGTTGATAGTCTGTGTTACTATTATTTCTTACCACAGTTTCAGGTTTCTGTGTCATATGTTGCACAGAATGCATTTGTTTAATTTTGTGTAATGATTAACTGGCAATGTGAAATAACTTTATTCTTTAATTATAACAATAAAAATTAATCTTTATAGTATAATAATACTTGATTTGTTAATGATCATAATATACTTGATAAAAACACTTTGTAAACACAACAATAAATTTATTAAAACAATACCACTTTAACCTGTGAATGAATCTCATAATTTAAACAATTTTAATTATTACCTGAAACAAAAAGTTAATTCTGTTGTTTAAAGTTAATTAAAGAATTAGAAATCATGATAAATTTCTCTCAATTCTGA